CGCGCCAGGTGCTTCTGTGACTGAAAGGCGTCTACATGATCATTTGGGTCGAACGACCCGTCATACTTGTCAAGATGGGGAAGCTTGAAATCCTTGGGCATTGGGACCGCCAAGAGTTCGGAGGACAGGGGGGACGGAACCGAGAGGAGGGGAGCCTTAGCTTCGGTCGAGCCTACCTCTTCTTTGCCCATGAGGTCGGGCAAATCGCGGGTGACAGATCGGCGGGCTCGGCGGCGGCGTCTCTGCTTCTTGGTGGGCTCGGCGTTAGTGCTGCTCACCTCCGCGCTGTCCAGAATGGTTTGCGCCGGAAGTAGCCTGGTCTGCTGGTGATGGCTACGGACAGAAAGGGCCTGCTTAGAGTCTGCTGCCAGGATCTCGAACTGATTTCCAAGGATTGGTGTTCTGAACTTCGATTGTCGAGGCGACGTTGACCTGCCTAGCCAGGGTCCCCCCGACCCGTCCACCCGCAGCGGAATCGGGGTAGCTAGTCTCTCCCGTCTGTCGAGGGGGAGGTCTGGTTTTTTGGGGGATTTTGGGGGACTTCTCCTCGGCCGGAGTGCTCGCTCTGGCGGCGAGATCTGGCTTGATGCAGGGCCAGGTGCTGAGGCCGGAGTTGAGGCTGTTGAAGCTGAGGTTGGGGCAGTTGGGGGCACAACCGAGGGTTCAGTGAACGTTGTTCTGACTGTAGCGGGGAGTGGGGCGATAGCAGGTGTTGTTGTGAGAGGCACGTTCAAGCTGGGATTTCCGTCCGCTGAGAGGGGGATGGTGAACTGACCGATACAGACAGTAGGAGACTGGGGTTGCTCCCTGGAGTTACCCATTTCCATGCTTCATCCGACGTTGCTAGGGGAAGCCATGAGCGCTGAGTTGTGTTTTAGGAAGAAGAAGTCACTGAGAATTTAAAGGGGAAGCCCTTTTGAAGCATTTACCGCAGACGGCACCAAATGATGTGGCGTGATTCGAGCACTCTTAGCTGGCGACCAACTGGCTCTTTGCTGGCAACGACCGGCACCTGAGAAGATGAAAGGAAGGATTCCCTGGGATTAGCCCGATGGGAATACTCCGATGCTTAAGTTAGTACTGTGTATGGGGAGAAAAGAGAGAAAACGAAAGCTAAGAGTGGAGGTCGTGCTTTATCACTATATTCCTGAGATTAGAGGTCTCAGGAGAGTCTTTCTCTTCTGCCCTGGAGGGCTCTTATAGGAGTGCTCTTGAGAGATCGGGCATAACCGCCACTGGGTCCCTGTCACACCCGTTACCTGCTAGGGTTGCGTAGGTGGCCGTGGGACGTACTCCTTACTCGGGCGAGTGACACATCCCCAAAGTGACAGGCATGCCTTCGCCTATTGAGAGACGTGGGCGCAAACTGTCGAAAGGACAGGGACTGCGCCGTCAGTTAGGGACGTGGCCCAGTCTGACATGTACGGCTTATTAACTAGAAGCTTCCTGAGGAAAGCTTGTGCGGCCCATTCGCGAGCTATTCTGCAACGAGCTTTGAATACTTCAGAAGTACCCTTAGTAGAATTGGTCCTCGGATGATTTGCATTGTTCGGGAGCTCGGGCGAGCTGGCTTTTTTAAATTGTAAGTTAAAGTTTGCCTCGGAATATCCCTTGAGGTAGCTCGGGCAACTCGGAGCTCGCATTGTGGCGAGCCCCTCCTTTACCTCGCTACCACGTAGCGGGCTGCTTTATGGGCCTATCACTTAACCGTATCGGAACACGATGTTTAGCTGTCGCTTACGCTGAGTCGGCGTCCACGTGTCGCCATTTCATAGGTCGAGTCAAATCATCCTTCATCAGTTTTCTCTGATGGATGTATGTAGTAGGGAGGAGTCTTATCAATTTCTCTTGCCATAGCGGAATTCCAAACGATCTTGGAATAGAGGATCTCTACATTGCAATCTTGGAATAAAGGAATGGAGATGATTCAAACAAGAATGGCAATCCAACTTGGTAGTGGCGACATTGCCAGGATCGCAAGAAAGAAAGAAAACACAGAAACATAGTTCTCAGATTTGGTAGTTAATGCTCTAATACATGATAGACGAAAAAGATGAACAAAGAAGAAAATGATTCTTGTATTTCAATATTTTACTCCATACATATTTTTACTTGTGGAAGAGAAACCACGACAGCTATTTAGATTATAACAACTTCACTGATGAACCTTTCACCGACTTACGACCTTCCTCCAATAACAATAGAAGTAGTAGCAGGAAGTCATCGTAGGGTCCAGAGGTAGTAGGCACGTTAACTAAGCACAATGAGTGAGCACCTAATAACTGTGTGGCACCTGTCCCAGTTAATGTGCCTTTCATCCAAACATTTTTACTCCATTAGACAGGAATTATCTATTATTTTATTATCTTTGTCAAAATAATTAAAAATAAAAAAAAACAATGAAAAAGGAAAACCTAAACATGTTGGAACTCATTGGACTCTCTCCAACCTTTTTGCCATTTAGATTTCTCTCTCTGATTCCGACCTTCAACAACTACAACTGAGTTCTCTCATATCATAGCTTTTCCTAGCCATCTTCTTCCTCATTTGTTGTATTTGAAATTATAAAGAGGGTTATGAACTTCTGCTACGGATGTTGCTTTTTAGTGAGCAAAATGGCAATGAAACTACACCAATTATTGTAAATTTGTAAGTCAGAAACACCTGTATTAACTCTATCAATTTGTCAGAATAGTTTATGCATATTCCTAAAAAATTGATTCTCCTTATTAAAAGTAATTATGTCTTTTTTGTCATAACTAATTATGTCTTTTTTTGTCAAAACTATAATAGTTTGTCTTTCTCAATAAACAAAAATGACAAGACAAATACCATAGGCATTAAAATTCATCTATGCTAATTATAAAGTATCCTAAAATAAACAATTTCTGCAAAAACTAGTAATTTACTTAAAATCTTTTTATTTTTGGTGAATGCTCTAATTTTAGAGAATTAATATTGTTATAAAGCATTACATGTTACAATTTTAGAAAATATTTTTTATGCCTAGATTGAATTCTCCAATTTGTCATTCTTCCTCAATGTAGAGGTGTAAATTGGGCCAGGCCGCGACTTTGGACCGGCTTTGCATGGCACGACACGGTGGTACGCAGGCCATGCCAGGCCCGACACGATCGTGTATGCAATGCTAGGCCTGGGGTTTTAGGTCCACCTGCCCAACCGGGCCGGTATAGCACAGCCGAGTGGACTATGCCTTCTATGGCCCGTGTGTCAACACGACCTAGCCCGTGACACAACCCATATATATTATTTATATATATAATACATAATATATTATATAATTATATAATAATATATAGTATATAATATATTAATAAAATAAATAATTATTTTCAATTTTATTATACTAATTTATTTAATTATTGTATATATAAGCAATTGCATACATCAAAATTCATATAAAATTAAAATTTTAAGTTTTTTCCAATTTTTTAAATAAATAAGCAAAAATAGCTTTGGCTCAGTCCACGGCCCGGCCTTGGCCAAGTCTTGAACCATGAGTCGGGCTAGTCTATTGCACGACACGAGCTTGCATGGGATTGGGCCATGGGCCATGCCGGGCCAACCCCCCAAGTTATTTCAGGGGAAGGCAGCATGGCCCAAGTTGGCCTGTGGGCCAGCACGACATGGCCCGCACTTTGCGTGGGCCACCCGTTTTACACCTCTACCTCAACATATCTAACATTAAGATAAAACCAATTTTTATTTTATATCAAACTTATTAAATCGTGTACTTGAATTTATAATTCTCAAATAAAATGATCAAGAAAAAACATTCCCATAGTAGCCTATATTATTTACTATTTTTTATTATTATAATTACTTTCTTTTTGTTAAACTGATGCTTTCTTTTCATTTTCATGTGTTTAATAAGTAGGTAAAATATTTTTGTCATGTCTAACAGAATAGTCAAAAGGAATATGGAGGTTGGTCGTCACTTGTTGTAGTTGTTGAAGGATAGAACCAGAGAGAGAAACCTAAATGGCAGAAGGTTGGAGAGAGTCCAATGAGTTCCAACTCCCTTCAAGTTTAGGTTTTCCTTTTTCATTGTTTTTTTTATTTTTAATTATTTTGATAAAAATAATAAAATAATAGATAATTCATGTCTAATGAAATAAAAACATTTGGATGAAAGGTGCATTAACTGGGACAGGTGCCACACAACTATTAGATGCTCACTTATTAACGTGCCTACTACACCCGAACCCCTACGATACAATATGTATCGACCAATACATCACAATACTATCAAAATTTTGAACCTTGCCCCTTACGTGTATCAATGGAAAGCCTAACTCTATATATAGCTACGTTTTTTTTGCCATGTAAATTTGTGCCGGACGAAATCAATTTGCAAAATTCACAATCAACCTCTTTAATTTATAACTTGATGTAAATTTTGCACCACTTTTCTTCTATCTTAATTTGAGTCTGACTACATTAATATGCTTTATACCTTAATCCCCCAAATAAATCAATTCATGTGTGATCCCAACAACCGAACATCTCCCTTGTCCTTCATGAGGGGGGGTTGATTTCAAATCAGCCCCCACAAGATAATTTCCCAATCATGACAAGATCTTTCCAATGTATGTGCAATGGTTGTTGGTAATGTGCGTTGGGGACCTTGCATTGGGACGAAATTTGCACACCAAATAAACAACCTTTATAATTCTCCCTCAAGTAGGAATAAGCTACCAACAAAATGCTCCCAATAACACTGCCGCAACAGGACACTGCAGCCGCACATTAAGAAGATCCTCCAACCCTATCCCAACAGGCCAACGCAGCCGCACATCTGGAACAAGGGAGATGTTCCTAATAATTAATGTGCGACTGTAATTGCCAGTTGGGAGATTTGGAAGTGCTTATTGAGAGCAGATCTGAACTCTCAACTCTCATCCCTCGCCTCGTTTCTCTTCGTATAAATCAGGACCATATTATTTTACTTATTGCAAACAAACAAAACAAAGGTCAAATCTGAAGAAAAAGCAAACCAGGATTTACATGGATGGTTCCTTTATTTACATTTATTCACCATACAAAGGAGGATTTATATTTATTTGACCTGATTGTTCCTTATAAAAAATCACAGGTGGGTTTTGATTGGTCAAATCTGGGCATCATAGATTTATCGTAGTCTTCTGATTCATCTCCTCCTTCTAGTATCAGCAAAGGGAATCTGAGGTAGTGATGCACATGAATGTTTGATGCTGGGAACAGCATATGGTCCTCTGATTAAACCCTCGGCAATCAATCTGTAGGCTGCTTCGGTTAGGTGAATACCATCCCAGCTCACATACGATGATGGGTCCTCGCAAGTCCTCGAACCAGCATCGCCACACATGGCTGTCCGGTCGTAGTTGTATGGACCTCCCCCTCCACAGCATGCTGTGAGAGCCCCGTTTGTAAATCCTGCAATAACATATCATGAACCCCACCATTAACAACCCAGTAGCCAGTAGCTAGGAGGAGGAGGAAGCAGGAGCAGAGTAGAACACAGACCGTATTGGCTGGGAGATCGATATATACGCATGGCGGCATTGTAATAGTCGGCATAGATGATGGTGGCATGAGGATATAGCTCTCGCATCCCATCCAGCTCTTTCACAAGATGGTCGTTGAACTTCTGGGCGAATTCGTTTAGCCACTTCAGACACCCGGTTTCAGGGTCGTAGTCATCCTTGTTTGGGCTTTGGAACTGAGTCAGGTAGGCCGCCGAGCATCCAATGGGGAGGTTTCCGGGGACCAGCAGCGTTACTGCACCTTGCTCGATCAACATCTGTGACCGCCCAAAGGAGTTTTTTGTTTTTTTTGGTAGAATTAATGAAATGGGGTTCTATTTCTATATATATAAAATTAATGGAGTCAACTCACTTGGACGGTGGAAGTGACGGCATTAATGACCAGAGGAACCAAAGGTCGTATATCGTGAAAGCTTTTTCCTTCAAAGAATGCATGATTGAAATCATTCCCTCCTATCTCTCCGGCGAGAACCAGAGATCTCGCTAGTAGTTCACGGCAATCTGTGAACCAATATATATCAACATTACCTAACAAATTTGGCAAATAGTGTCCTCTGCCGTGTATAAAAAATTAAAAAGTAGAGACATTAAAATATACATTATCGTCTTCCACATCTACCCTACTCACCTACTATATTTTTCCTTTGTTCTTGGTTGCAGAAGGCTCATCCATCATCAGCCCACTTATTTGGGAAAGATGGTTGGTCACCAATTATAGGAGAAAATACCGGACCTGATTGATTTCTCTCAGAGGAGTCATTCTTATCAGATCAGATCCGATATTTTCTCCAACACCAATTAAATTGCAGAGCCCCAAGTTTAGGTCTTTACAAAGTGAGAATTCCATTGTTGGTCTTGAAGCTAATATGTCTGACCCAGTACCTCACAATCTAGCGGCAGTGACAATTTTTTATCCGACCTCGCCAAGCCCACCTGGTTTTTGAATCCCAAGTGCCCAATTTGGATTAAAATTAAAGCTGGGGGGAGATTCAATTTTGAAATTCCTCATGGACCTAGCAAGCCTATAGCTGCATGGTCTTCTCAGGGTTGTACTGAGTCTGACTACGGATCTGTCTATTCCCATTTCCCAAATCCCAACCCGTTTCAATCAGGCCAGCCGGTTGGAAATTTTAACCCCATATCAATGGAAACCCATTAATTACTAGCTACTAACTCGATCGATCGACTGACTAATCACAAAACAAATTATGGTGTCGTTGAGAAAGGAAAGAATATTTGATGATGACTTACTTGTTGATGGGTCGCAGAGAGAAGGCAAGACTTGCTTGAACCACTGGAATTGAATTCCCAAAGAATTGTTGCTGTCTGGATTAAAGATACCTCTCTCTCGCAAGAAGCTGTCATCAAGAGCTGTAGCTCCTACAACTGCGAAATTAAGTCCTTGTTGAACAGGTTGGCTGTTATTGCGTTGAAGAAATGGTGGTATGAATGGAAGTCCAAGAGATTGAGCTGCATCATCAACACCACCTCTATTATTAAATATTAATTACAATAGCATAATAAGAAATTAAGAAATAAACCAACACAAGTTAATCAATTCGTTATATACCGATGAAATCGATAACTAAACGGCCGTTAGAAGATCGACCGGTGGGACGATGAAAGTATGTCTCTCCATATGGGACTCGGCTGATACGGGAGTAAGGTTTATGTTCTTGAGCTTGAAGGATGAGCAAGTTCCCGGTGTCGGCGAGCGAGTCACCGAAGCTGAAGATGGAGGTGTAGCAGCTCAACACTTGATTAGTACTAGCCAATGCAAGGAAAACGGCGACCAGAAGGATCTTCCATATGGAAATGGGAGCAGACCGAGCCATGAAAGAGAGACAGAGAACCTTGAACAGCTCAAGAGTTACTTATAATGTTCAAAATAAGCTAAAAGTCTTTCAGTTTCAGCAACCCAATTGTTATTTTTTAATGAAAGCTCCGTCAGACTCCATGCCCGTGAAGCAAACATTGGTCAATTGTTAATTACTTCTAATCCATCAAAAGAAACTTTCATCCTTGCTTATAAAAGCCTAAAACCATGCTTGATTGGGCGGTTCTTTGTTTGGAATTTCAGAGGGGAAAGTTGGTGATTGGGGTTTCGATTTTCATTAAGATATTCATATTCTTTTTTTATATTTACGTGGGGTTTACGTAAATTTTTTTTTTAGATATTACTTATCCGATAAATGGGACAAAATTAACTCTTTTAATTATAATAATAGCTTTTTTTATTATTTATATGAAAAATAAAAGAATATAAATAAATACAATTACCCTAATAAGTATTTTCTGGATTAATAGAAAAAGAAATAGAAGGAAGACCTTTGATCTTTGAACGAGGTTGGTGAGGGGTAGAGAGTATGGCGATTTAACAACCGTTTCTGGAGCAATCGACTACCCCCTTTGGCTTCTGATCCTCAACTACTACTGCCTTTGGCTATTAGCCTCTCGGCTTTTCATGGCTATGTTTATGCCGGAGTTGGTGGTGGTCCGGTAGATAACCAAGATGTCTTCGTCTCACCTACCGCTGCGGCCTGCGGGTCCTTCATCTCATGAAAAAGTCGCCCTCCGGCCTCCAGTCGGATATAATTTATTACTTGTTTGGCAGCAATCATAAAAAAGAAATTTGATCTTTTTGAAAAATAAAAAAAAATGATTTTGGATCAAGGTTTTAAAACGCTAAATGCCGAGAATTTTATGTATATAAATACAATATATGTATGTATGCATGCCTATCTATATTATACATACAATTTACTTCATTTTATAAACAATTTACAATTTTTCTCTTCATTACATATATATTCATTTTAAATTTTATTTATTTTATTTTGTAGTTTATATCCTTCTTTGTCTAAATTAATTAATATATATACACATGCTAAAATTATTTATAATTTATGCATAACGGATACAATTTATTTATTTTATAGCATTTTTATATTTATATTCATACCTACTTGTCTTAAAATTAATCATATGTTTTTGACATTTTATTTTTTTTACCACGTTTTATGGTCATAATTCATCTAAATAACATTATCCATTTATTTAGTTTACATATTTCATAGTTTATTTATATGTATGCAACAAATTAAACTTATTTTTAATTTTCTTATACATTTTTTGTCATAGTTATATTTATTGTATATTAAATTGTGTTCTTTTTAATGTGATACTTTTTAATTTTTTTACATTTTTAACATTTTTAACTAAACAAATGAATATCTTTACTTAATTGATATATATATATATATATATATATATATTATTTTATGAATATTATATGAAACCATTTTGATGAAAATGACAATTCTTACCCTCAAAACACACATGAGCCTACGTGTCACACACATTGCAATATTAAACATTTATTTTATATATGGAAATACAATAAATAATTGAAAGAATAATTTCTTCTTCTTTTTCTTCTTCTTCTTCTAATAATAATAATAACTAAAATCATAACCAAATATTAGAAAATTAACCACAATTTATACTTGCATAAATTGGATTTTAACATTTTCATAAAAAAATCGTTGCTAGGAATAGTATAGAACTATATATATATAGTGGAAAAGTGATTGTCGTTGGTGAGCTATGTCTGCCTCTTTTCCAAACTCAGATCTGAGAGAAAATAGTGGAAAAGTGGGTTAGAACCCACCACACCAGAGTGAGCTATGTTTGTCTCGAAGGGAGGTTGCCCCTCTTGCCAAGGTCCCTAGTCTGATCCTGCGGAGGTCGCCAGTCTGCTCTGCCAAGGTGCATACATCACATAAGGCCATGCCTTCCTCAGTTCCTAGCCAAGGTGCCAAGGTGCATCCAAGGTGTATCCAAGGTACATCTGAGGAGCATCTGAAATGTATCTGAGGTTCATCCGAGGTGGATCCAAGGTGCATCCGAGGTGGATTCGAGGTGAATACAAAGTGATTCCGACTGACTTGGTAAGGATGTATCACTGCCGATGTGGCACCAAGGTGTTATACAATGGTTCAGAGGTGCCACATGACACGACATCACTGGAGGGCCAAATTATCCCTCATCAATATCCTTTGGGGGATAAAAGTTATTATCACTTCTTCTTTTAAATGTGACGATACTTAGCAAGTTGAATATCCTTAAATTCAAACTACAAATCCTGGGTTCAACTTGGATTCCAAGGTTTCATTAAAAAGTTCAATATTTCTAGAACAGTTACTTGTGATGTATAGATAAATCAGTTTCGTTTTCTCAGACCCCCCTACCATTTGATTTAGATACTTTACACTGGTGTAATTAAATTCACAATGCAAACAAACTAGGCATATAAATGTATAATGGTCTGGGTTGCATTAGAATTAGAATTGGAAAATCTTTGCACTCCAATGCCATGAAACCAGCTTAATTTTGAATAACAAAATAGAGATAATTACTTGGAAGAAAAAGACGAGAGGGTGAAAAAATAAAATAAAAATAATGCATGAAACATACCTAATGTCGGGAGATAGATCCTCTAATCTTAGGGCTTAACTCTTCGGCCTGGGTTTGTTTGATGTTTTGAATTGTTGAGAGTCTAAGGTTCAAACAAGGTGAACTGAACCACCAAACACCATTACTACATATGTTTGGGAAATAAGTGTTTGTTCAGACAAATACTTATTCAATAAGGTTGTGTTTGTTTTGAAGGAAAAGGTAGGGAAAAGAAGGGAAAAGCACTACTTGTTTTTAAGTACTAATAGTGTTTGGGGAAGTTTTTTCTCAAACAACTTATACTTATTTTAATTACTTATTGTCTTGCAATGTTTGGTGAATGTTTATCACATAAGTACTAATATAGCCAAAACCGACCACCAGTCAAAAATGGTCGCGTGACACTAAGGCTGAGGGGCAGAGTGGCCAATTGACCTCCCATTACCTTAGAAGGCCAAGAGCCAAGTCGACCTGGCTTGGTCTAACCAACCTAGTCGAGCTCACATAAGCCCAATCAACTCGATCGAACCAAGCCGACCTAGCCAAGCTCACCTAGGCCCAATCAACCTTGTTGAACCAACCTAGTCAAGCTCACACAAGCCCAGACAACTTGGCCAAACTAACCTAGCCTTGCTAAGCCTGCCTAGCCAAGCTCACCTAAGCCCAATCAACCTAGTCAAATCGATCGGGCCTAGCGAAGCCGACCTAATACCACCAACTCATGACACATACACAGCACACCTCATTTAATGCCCAAGTAATGCCTAGCCACATGGTGCCAACTCAGGTGATGCATATAGTAAATGCAGTTCGACATGAGAAAGCATTACAAAGCCCTTCAACTAGGGGTGCAATGGATCAGATTCTTACCTGATCCGAGATCCGATCCTATTTTGTCGGATTTGGATCTCCCCTGTTCAGGTCTTCAGATCGGATCAGATTCTAATCAGGAAATATTGTTTTTACTGAAAAGAAAGCAGTATAAAGTTTATGAACATTAAAAGAGAAGAGAATTTAAAGTTGCAGTTTACTTTTGAGTGATTGATATGAAGAGCAGATTAGGAAAATAAATCAATTTCAGAAAAGAGATTGAAAGGGTTTGGATAGTGATTCATACAAAGAAAATATTTGGAAAACAAACATTTTTGTTAGAAGTAATTGCATGGGTATTTTAGACATTTTAGTGCCTCTTTTTATAAGACTAGTAAGCGTGCACGTGCTTTGCATGTGGCGATTCTAGATGATAATAATGATAGTAATAGTATATACAAAATTTTCTATAAATTTTATGTATTTTTATTTTATTTTTATATTTTTATATTTTTAATTATTAAACAAATGTAGATTGGAAAATCCAAATCTGATTACATAAACACCTCATCCAAATGTGATAATTGGATCGAGTTGTAAAGTTTCAGGTATCATTGACAGGCCCACCTGCTTAGTTAGGCTATTCTTTTTATAATGTTTTATCTTTTTGGTCTATCTTTTTCTTTCTTTAGTTCATTTATCAGAAAAATATAAGATTTAAATAGAGGGAATTAAATGAGGTGAAAAGTAGTAGTTCAATTTACAATTTAAACTTTACAATTAAATAGGGACTAAATTCAAAATTGAGTATTTTAGTCAAAAGAAAGTTTTACAATTTTATTCATATTTTTAATAGTAGTGTAAATATAGAATTATAGACATGTTCAATTTTTTCTACATTTTTTTTTGTATTTTTGTGTGTAAAAATAATTTGGATATATCACACTTACTTTTTGTTTAATATGATAAATACATGATATTATACATGTGCCTCAATGCTTTTTATATTTATGTACTTTTATATTTTATTATTTATTTATGGCATTAAAGGTTAACACATTTAATCCAAAAGTTGAACTATTTATTATTAATTATTATATTTTATTTTTGGCCAGTACTAAATTATGTATTTCATTTTCATTATCAATAAAAATAATTCATGTTTATTATGCCTATTTTTTAATTTAATTAATAAAAATATCATAAGTGTGCCTATTTTTTCTACATTTTCTTTTATAATTTTCTATATTTATTTCTATTTTAAAAAGTTTATTACCTAACTATGACTTCGTAGGTTGATCAATTTGATTCAAATGGTTGAATTGCTTAGCCACCACTTGGATAAAAATTGGTTTTGGTTTTTAGTCAATTTTAAAGTATATGGGTTTATATTGTTAAAAATATTGACATAGATCTAATTAGTAGCATTTATTAGTGAAAAATAATTTAAAAATAGAAAATAAGATTTAATACCTTAAGTATAAAACTTAATAAGAGGGGATTAAATGAGGTGGAAAGTAATAAACTAATAATTGAAGTTACATTTTTAACTCTTATAACTAGAAATGGATTAAATACACAAATATAGGCATTTTAATAGCCATTAAAGCTGGCATTAAAGTTATAATAAAATCCTTTTATACCCTTTTTCAAACAAATAAATAGAGGTTAATTTTAGTCCGAAGTTTCACATTCACACTTTTATATATAGTATAGATTTCTAGCCAAGGTTTTAAATTTCGCAATGTATCGGCCGATACGGGCCGATACGTATCGTTTTGGAAGAGTTACGATACACAAAACATATATAATTAGATGGTTTCGTATGTTTTCATTCGTATCGACCTTGTATTAGACCGTTTTGGGTATGTATCAGCCTCATATCGGCCGAATTTAATTTCCCTCTCAATTTTAAATTTAAATTTAATTTATCTCTTCTCTCTCTTATTAATATCAATTTTAATTAAGCCTTAAAGTCTGAAACGTCACTAAATGCTAATATTATTTAATTAAATGCTCATTTGAATTACCTTTAATTACGGCAATTAATATGTCATTAAATGTTATTTAAGTCAAATAACTTATTAAAAAGCGCAAATCGAAGGTAAAAAATTAAGAACCCAAGTCATTTGCTTGCAACAATAATTAATTAACCATTATGCCAACCTTAATTTCTTATTAAAACAACATATTTTTTTTTATATTAAAGTAATCTTTCTTGCCTTGGTGGATGTTTCCCAACAAATGCTAAAATTTGATTATTAATATTTATATAATAATAAGATGAATACAGATTATATTTATTTATTAAAAATTAAGGTATATATTAACTTGTATACATAATAAATATTATCTAAATCTATATATAATAAATATTAACTAATAAATGACTTAAAAATATTAACTAATAAATATTAGCATATATACACACATATACATTTTAGTTCTTTTATTATTTTTCAACGGTTACTAATTATATCCTGATAGTCTGATACTTTGTATAAATCATTAAATAATGGTTTTCATGTTTAAATAAATTAGTTATAATCACATAAAACTCATTTTTATTGTTATTCATATTTTTAAAGATTTTTTTTTTATTTTCTAGTATATCCAAGCATATCTTGATTTTTCATCCATATCTATATGTTTCCAAAGCGTATCTCGACACCTTGCGTTTCTGATACTTTGAACCTTGTTTCCAATAGAGGGGGTCTATTTGCAACTGTCAAAAGGTTCAGGGGAGGTAATGACAATTACCAAACTTCAGTGGAGGTTGCAACAACAACCAGAAACTTAAGGGGAGGTTTCAGTAATTTACACACAAAAAAAAAAAAAAGCCTGAGTGTTGTTTTTCGTCTCCCTCTACTACCCCTCTGCTCAATGGCATGAAAAAAGGTTCTCTTTTCTCAGCTAAATGTTAGTATTTGATTAGCAAGTCTTGCTATTCTTCTCCATGTTTTCTACAAACAAGCAAGTGTACAACAGCTTAATGCCGGGCAAGAGAAAACGGTGAAAAGAGGCACTTCGTCCAACAGAATACAAAACTAGTGTGGATGGGATTAGTGACAAGGGGTAGCAGTAGTAGACCGTAGACCCACCCAAAGGATGGTAGCATTTGTTCCAATGAGTGAGACCCCAATATACTTGATTCCCTGCCATTTAATTTGTTGGCATTGCTGCAACTGCAGTGATCTATAGACTACAGTATGCAATTTCAGAACTGGAGAACCAGAGAAATGCGCAACCTGTCTGGCCTGTAAATACGAATACAATGGTTTGGTTTTAATTTTATTCCAGAAATTGGAAAAAAGATGGAATAATTGACAGGCAGCAGCAACCAACAACCATCCGACCATTCAATGGTTGTTGCAAGTGAACTGTAAAGTGTAAACGAACGCTGGAGTGCTCAAGTGCCAGAATGATGGGTTGGAGTTTCCTGGGATAGATTTGTGTCTCTATGTTCAGACTTCAGAGGAGAGGGGAGGAAGAAGAGAGCACTTGCATCTGCCGTAACTGCCCTAGAGTCATATTTAATTTTTCATTGGAGGTCCATGTAGAAGTTGGATTTCGTCAACCTAGACGCCTACTTGATCAAGTCTTGAATTTGTGCTTCAATCCAGTCATTTGTCTAGTTGGGGGTACTTGGGGGTGCCAAGGCCAAACCACTTTGCTACAGTGTTTTGTTGATCACTTGATCCAGGGATTGATTCGCCTAGACCTAGAGCCAGACTACACAGAGATCAGCACTTGCATTTGGAACATCTTATTTTATTTCATTCCCGGGGAGATGTTCCAAATGCACTGCTGCAACTCTTGTGAGGATAAATTTTGTGAGGTCTAAATCCGGATTCCAACCGAAGATGTTGCAGTCATTAGTCCTTGACAAGGGGACCTATGGCTATGGGAGAGTCGGGTTTCTCAAAGATATGTTACCAGTAAAACAAATAAACGATCATTTCAGGGTTCAGACTTCAGACAAAGAATGAAAGCCACCTACACTACAGCAAGAAATTTAAATAGAAGTATATTAATGTTTATTAGAAAATGTTTCTTCCTATGGCAGGCCCTTAAGGCATCTAATACCAACTCAGCAATTCCAAATTCCCAACTGCAACGATGATGACAGCGAAATGCGGGAGAACCAGTCCCAGTCCCAGTCCCAGTCCCAGTCCCAGACTCCCAGTTCCGGTAGACGGAGCAAAATGTTAACAATGGAAAACATGAATGGGGTAAACAATGTAATACAGTTGACTGCAAAATTGTATTACTTTCACGGCTTGTGCATGCATTACTTTCAACTAATTTGCACTGGCAAACTTGATTCCCTTCTCAATTGATGCTTTTAGTTCAGGCTTTAGGCTTTCCAGGCCTTGTTTCTCGTAATCAGAGAGGGGACCCAATCCAAGAACTTCCTCCACACCATTCTTTCCAAGCCTCACCTGTAAGCATTGAGCACAAATTTGTATCACACAATTTATAAACAGAAGCTAAAAATTAGGATCTCACATCACCACATCGCAACATTAAGATATCACCCATGCATTATAAAACTGTCATCTCTCTTCCGTTGGTAGAAGATAACAGTGCAGATCATACTGCCGTAGCAATGGGGTTTCAAGTAACAAGGCAGTCACATGGTTGTTTCTATGCTTCATGGTTTGTTGTGTCCTTGTGTTTCTTTAGTTATTATATAATCTGTTTTCTTCTCCAAACAAAATAAAAGAAAAATAAAAGATAAGTACATATTCAACAATCAAAGCAACTGTCTATAATGTGAGAGCTCATTCCCCTCCCCCAACCTCCCTTGCCAAAAGCAAAAGAAAAGACATCACTTCTCCATAACTTCTAATTTCATTTAACATGCAACTTTTAACTAAAACCAACAATGATTCAGACATCAAAGTCTACAGATGGTTGTAGTGGACTCCTAGGATCGAGTCCCAGCTCCTACCTTCACCCAGGTTGAGGAGGATCGAGTCCCAGATTCAAATAACTATACCCCTGTTGCATAGCCCCATTACCCAAAAAAGAAACAACGATTAGAAGTAAATTAGAAAACTTAAAATCATCATATGAAATAAGAAAATGATGTGTTCCACAAAGCCATTTTGTACAGACTCTCCTAAATAAAGTGTCCACGTAATGATGTTCTCAAAGGATGCTTCTATGTGACATTTTTCTTTTTCTACATATTCAACATAAATGAACAGCTAATGTACAGAAAGAATGACATTTTTCCTATTAAATGTCAGCAAGTAACAACAATAATCTTGGAGACCTTTTACTAAAGAATAACATTAAAACTCAATAAAATATGGATTATTTTATTAGTTTATACTTTTCCATAGGTGTGTCCATGAGTCTACGGCTGTCAATGGATCAGGCAGACATTACAGACCAAAACCAACCAACCCAATTATGTAGAGTCTGGTTCTGCATTATGTGTCACGAGTTTAATTGGGCCAGGAACGGCTTAGATTGCTCCAAACCAATTAGAACCCAAATCAAACTATATGTATATAATCATATAATCACATATATGTATATAACATACTTATAAAGTTATAATAACAACCATATTATGATGTCCAAATGTGTTAATTTAACAAATAATTAAGTTTAGTATTAGTATCTACTTGCAGGTTAAAAGTATGGCTACCAATTATAATCAGGTCATACTGGGTCAGACCAGGTAATCCCAATTGCAGACCCTATAGGATATTGTTTGTAACTGGTTCTGCACAGTTACTTTGTGTCAGGATTTGGTCAATAATGATTTGAATCAGACCAGACCCATTGACAGCTAGCTCTGCACGAGTCCTTGTTTCTTCATCTTGCCAAGACAGACTCCCGGACGTGTCTGAATGTCCATATAACAGCCCTACAAAGCTATTTGAAAAACAAAGGATAAATCAATTCAATCACCTTAGAAGCAAAGAAAGTCAGTTCAGTGACGTTTGATTGCACAAAGGAACACTCTACAACATCTGGAACCCCATTAAGTCCCTTCAAGCAAGCATCAGCAAAAACGGCTCCAGCATAGCTGCAGAAACAAGATGGCTTATTCTCAGACAGTGTATGTAATTTTCTAACTTACCAATGGATAGATAAGGCAGATGTAGCATGCAGAAAATGAAGAAAGTTTATAAAATACGAATGATATACAGAATAGAAAAGGTTCAATTCAATCAGATAGCACCACGGGTTGAGAATGCAAAAGGTATAAAATATTGGTTGAATAATATGTACGAGACAAAAGTCAATTCCTCACATAACATAAGTTTGTCAGCCAAGTGAATTTTACAATTTCAAGAAAGCATGAGAGCAAACAGATAATTCATGAGCAATGCAAGCAACTTTTGGGGGATGACAAAAATTAGTTGACATTTGGATATTATGTGAACAATTTCAAATCTTCACCATAAAGGAAACACTGGATTACATAAATTAGGCAAGTTTAAGGGTCTGTTTGGTTTGCAGTTGGAATCAGAATCAGAATTGGAATTGAAATCCCCATGAATCAAAATCAAAATTGGCTGTTCCCTCCACCTGTTTGGTTCAGACAGGAATCTAAATCGAATTTCATAAGATATGCACGACTCCCAAGGAGGGCTGTTATCAAGAAAAAATAGGGTTTGGTGGTTTTTAAGTCACTTGCTTTTTTTTGTCAGCTGGAATGAGATTCTCATTCCCACGGCAGAGGCCATAATGGCCATTCCCTCAAATAGGGGAATGCCATTCTGCCAATAATGGGAATCAAAATCCCATTCCGCCTAATCAAAAAGCTGAAATCGGAATGAGTCATTCATATTCATACAGAATACGAATACTAATACTTAATTTATTCATGGTTCCTTTGTTCAAGTTAAGTTTATCCTACCTCTCAAATCTCCAACAAATCAAAGCAAACATCAGGGCAAATCTAAGATGCCAGAAAGGTATGATATTGGGGAAGAGCTTTAACCAATCAAAACCCCCATGAATTTTGAAGAAAACCACCTGATTGGTTACCACTTTTATGATGCTAGTTGATTGGTTAAAAGTTTTCCGGGTATCATAGTCAAATCCACAAACATCAATAGCTCAAATGAATCATATTGAGGTAAGAAGAAAGAACACAAGCCTGAATGTGGCAACCAGAATAGGATTCCTATATAAGAACTTGTTCAAAATCCTTGCAAGGAAAAACTAAGAATTCAGAAATAGCAATAAAATTTGTTTTGCCACAGAAGTAGCTGAAAGCCCATATAACATGACACTGAAGTGAAATTCCAGATTAAGTTCAGTTGATGATAATGTTTGTTAGATTACCCGAATACACACTACAAGTCTTTGGATGCAAAGAATATTACTAATTTTACCAAATGCCTAAATAGGTCCCAAATTCAATTCCGATACCAAAGTTCAATGTCTATATTATAAGGAATAGCACAACCAGCCAGACCATACTAATTATTTCATGCATCCCAAACACGAAAAATATGAAACAAGGTAACATCCACCGATATTTTCAATCCATGACTTACGCCATTGACAATGTTGCAGAGCCCTTTCCAGCCTTTGCTTCCACGACCTCCGTTCCCCCATCTTGTGTTCTTTTAGTAAGAGCCGCAATCTCATCATCCGCCAAGTTGGATTTTGGCGTCGCCTATTATTTTTAATATCTAATGTTACTAGAACACGACAACTTCCTCTAAAACACAAACACACAGACCCAAACAGTAAAAATGGAAGTACCTGAGAGAAAAGAGGGAGAATAGTAATCCCAGCGTGACCACCAACGACAGGGACATTGACCTCTGCAAATCAGAAAAGAAAAATGCTTTAAAAACGAACCAAGAACAGTTATTTCTACATCCAAAAAACTTTAAGTAAGCCCTTTGAAACGACAAGAAGAACTAAAAGGACACTTTTTTTCTCCCAGGGAAGCTTACCGGAAACGGGAACCTTTGCCTTTCCGGCGTAGAAGGTCTTAGCCCTAACAACGTCAAGGGTAGTGACTCCAAAAAGCTTCTTCTCATCGTAAGTTCCCGCCTTCTTGAAAACCTCGGCAGCAATCGGCACCGTTGAGTTCACAGGGTTGCTAATCATGTTAACCAGTGCCTGTTCCATCAAATTTATACGAATTAGAGAGAGAGAGAGAAAGAGAGAGAGAGAGAGAGACTTATAACAAAGAACGCGGTGTACAAAAGAAGGAAAAGAAGAAGCTCACATTAGGGCAGTACTTAGCGATGGCAGTGCAGAGAGACTTGACGATGCCGGCATTAATATTGAAGAGATCATCACGGGTCATGCCAGGTTTCCTAGGAACACCGGCCGGAATGATGACGATGTCAGATCCCTCCAAAGCCTGGCCGAGCTGGTCCTCGCCCATGAAGCCAGCAACCTCAGATCTGGTGTTGATGTGGCTGACATCGGCGGCGACACCAGGAGTCCCGGCGATATCATAGAGGGAAAGCTTAGAGACGAGGGGATTGAGCTTCATGAGGAGAGCGAGGGGCTGGCCGATCCCACCGGCGGCACCCAAGATCGCGACCTTGCGCTCGGGGGCCGATTCGGATGAATAGCATCGGCGAAGGAGATGAGAGGAAGATGAAGAGCTTCTGTTTCTAAGGGCAGCTTCGGCCACCGATCTCAACACCGACGTCCTCATCTTTCTTCCCTTCGTCCACTACTTTGCTGCAGTTGAGATTTGAGATAGAAAGTGAGAGCGGGGGAAGAAGAACGAAGAAGAATCACAGGTTTCAGTCACAGGATTACTGAATAAAGATTAGAGAGGCGCCTTTTTGTAAAAGAAAAAGCAACGAAGGGCGAAGGACTTCAGATCTCCTGCCCACGTTTATCTCAGCCGTACACAGAGAACATCTCATCAACTCCGTCCCCTTGGCCCTTGCGCTTAATTTTACTACAGTGTCTATCGCATGTATTTTGTACATCTTAAACCCGAGATAGATATAAGATATTTGTTCATTTGGGTCGTTTGATGGAAATCTGTAGTGGGGCCTATCATTATCAACGTCAGAAAGCAGGTTTTGCTTCCACGAGGACCATACATAGTATATATTGCTCCATCTCTCTGGGTGTTAGAAATCGGATTTAATGCTCACAGATTGTGATTACACCGTTCTAACAGCCCTTCAGCCGTGTATTCGGAATATCTCTCATGAATAAAAAATAAAGATCGGTCTGTGTTTTCAGAAAGTAAAGCGTCACAGCATGCGTCAGTTGACACGACCCCAACCGCAAGTCTTTTACTTTCAGGTGGACCATGGTCCATTGATCATGTGACATTAACCGAAAAAACAGATCTCCCTTCCCACAAGAACTCGGCCGACGTCTATCCACATAACATCTCAGCGACAAATGGGGAATGACCTGACCGATCCAACCTGAAAAAAACTGGGCTGGGTTGGTCATGGATCAATTGGTTGATTTTATTGGTACGTTTAATTGAGAGAAGTTTTCACTATTTAATCTTTATTATATAGTCTTTACTCTTTAATATTACGTTTTAAATTATTGAATGTTTAAATTTTTTATTTTATATTTGGATCTTTAATATTAATTCCTTTAATGATACTTTATTTTTTAAAATCCCAATCATTTTTAGGGATAACCTGAATTGATCCATGGGCAAGGTTCAAAATATTGATACGCCTGATACGTCGATAGGGGCGTATCGGGCTATATCAATATTGTTTTTTTATGTTTTTTTATTTTTTTTTCAAAACCGGTTCAAGGCTCCTCCACCCCCTGAAACTGGTCAGAACCCTGATACACCCTCTATAGGGGCATATCTAGGAACTCCCGAAACGATATGTATCGTTCGATACGGGTTAATACGTGTCGATACTTTGAACCTTGCCCATGGGTCAACCTTAACCCAAACATTTAGGGAAGGTATAGCATTTACCAACACAACACAAAATTCATCCTGACCCAATATCAACCCAAAGCATCTGGACCCAACTCGAACCCGATCTGCCCAACCCAATTGCTAGGTCTATGGACGGGGAATGGGTTACTCTTCTTATGGACTGGATCCTAGTTACTCTACTCTACAACTACAACCCTCGTTGGTTGTTAATTTGTTAATTTGTTATTTTTGGAATGGGCCTCGTGATGTGGCAAATATCAAAATATCAAATTTGACCACTGAATAGATCTCATAGAGGGGACTTCGTAGAGGTTAAATGGGAATTTGGTTAGGCTTGAGTTGATAAATTGGATTATTTGACATAAGTTTGGCTTTTTTTTTTTTTGAAAGTTAAACAAAATATATTAAACAGAGAAAATATCTACAAAGTTCTCAACTGTAGGAATCCCATTAGGTTAATCTCGAAATTCAAAATAAGACTATGGATGAGTTTTTGCCTATTGGGAAAGTAATATTTAAGGTTCATATTGAAAATTAAGTTCCTGGTTCTCAACAAAAACCAGTGGCAGAACCAAGAAAGATCAATAGTCTTCTGTAAAGCTTGAACAATTTGTTTTGCATCTGAGCAAATGCAAATATTCTTTTGACTTCAACTTTGTAGTTCTATTAAGACCTACATGATTGCAAATAATTCAGCTTGGTCAATAGAAGTAGATTGTGAAGTTCTTCCTCCAAGAACTTTGATGGAAGTTAAATTTGTAGTTAATATAATAATGCCAAAACTGAAAAAAGAATATGAGATTTCCCTACATCAATGAATATAATTAGCTCAGTAGCATTGGAAATGGATAATTGTATTCTATGGTTCTCAGGGAAAAAACTATTTGGATTTGATTCATGACAAAACTCCATGGGCTGTTGAAAATTTTGGTTAACAATAGTGAGGATCTTCTGTGGCAAAAATTGCTTGTTCCTAAAACATTTTTCGTTCCTGGCATGCCATATATAGCAGCAAGCAATAGCTATCCAACTTAAGATTTTAAGAAAAAGTTGATTATTAGAGAGTTGGTTATATAAATTTTTTAGGCATGAGATCCAAGAATCTTGAAAAGATATTGTGTAATCTTAGGTTCCAAGGATTTACAAATAAATGGCTTGAGCAAATTGACAATGGATAAAAAGATGAGTGATAGATTCTTCTTCCTCATTGCATAATACACAGAATTTGTCTGAAGATCCACAAATATAGAAGACTTTATTGGAATAAAATTGTTAATAATTCTCTAGAACAAACATTGATAATGGAGAGGAATAGTAATACGCCATATTTTAGATAAACAAAGCTTAAGATCATCAAAAATGTTTGGAAGGAGAATTCTTTGTTTGCTTTTGTATTCCTCCTTGACAGTGTATTTTCTAGAATAGTGACAAGTCTAGATCCAACTTACCTCATTGTTGGAGGGAAAGGTAGGTGTTTTCAAGATATTCCTAGATTCCTCATTTGAAAATAGAGAATGAATTAAATTAGTATTCCACTATGCTAGAGAAATGAGGGAAGATATATTCATATTCCTAAACTGAGGGGCTATAGGAAAGGGTATTCATTGAAACCGGTAATTTATTTGAATCCAGGGAACTCGATGGACAATAAAATCTGAATTTTCATTCACAAGATAACCAACTTCAGAGGCTAATTCCATAATCTTTAGACAGACAACTTTCCAATAGATGGACCCAATAGAGGCCATTGAATAGGGAATAATGTTATGATTTTTAAGATATTTTGATTTCCATAACTGGGCCCAAAACTTGTGTTGTTCATTTAACTATTTCCAGGCTACTTTTTTTAGTAGGGCATGATTTATTAGATTTAAATTCTTAAAACCTAATCCTCCACAAAACTTGGGTAAAATGAGGGTATTCCAAGAACACCAACGATAAGGATGTTTACAAGAAGAAGATACACCCCATTAGAAATCTCTAATAATTTTATCCATCTGATCTATAGTTTTTTAGGGAATTTTAGTAATACTCATAGAGTGAATAGGGATAGCTTGAAGCACTGATTGGATCAAAATTTTTTTCTTAGCCTGGATAATTGCTGAGGCTCTCCAATTGTTTAATTTGGCCTTCATATTTTCAAGAATATAGTTGATTTTATCATGCTTATTACGTGACCAAAAAAGAGGAAGGCCTAAATATTTAGAATTTTTATTTAGAGGACCTATATGTAATTTCCACTTGATCATGCGTTGATGTATTGGATGGATATTTTTGCTACAAAAGACATTAGATTTTTCCAAGTTAATCATTTGACTAGAGGCTTGTTGAAATTTAAGAAGAATTTGGGTTAGGTTATCTAATTCTTCCCTATGAGCTTGGAGGAAAAGCATGACATCATCAACGAAAAACAAGTGAGAGATTTTTGGGGAATAATGGGTTATTGAAATGCCTTGTAACTTTCCTTCATATTCCACTTGAAAAAGAAGAAGAGATAAACCTTCCATTGCTAGAATAAATAAATAGGGAGATAAAGGATCTCCCTATCTAAGTCCTCTAGAGGGGCAAAAGTGTCCTTCTAAAGTACCATTAATTAGTATGAAAAAGGAAACTGAGGAAAGGCACTCTTTGATGATCTAACAAAAATCCTCTAAAAATCCAAGAAGAGATAGGATTTTTAAAAGAAAACTTCATTCAAGACGGTCATAGGTTTTTGATATGTCTAACTTTAGAGCAATAAAGCCTATACCTCTTTTTTTGTGCTTTAAATAGTGAAAGACTTTTTTGGATTAGAATGGAATTGTCAAACATATGTTAACTCGGCACAAAAGCTACTTGATTTGGGGCAATACATTTATCTAGGAGAGTATGTAGTCGAAATGCTATCAGTTTAGCTATCACTTTGTAAATGACATTACAGAAACTAATAAGTCAGTAGCCTTGGACTTTTGTGCAATCTATTTTTTTAGGGAGGAGACAGATGAAAGTGTGATTTGACCTCCTTAAAAGTTTCTTATTTCTAAAGAACTCTTGAACCACTTGTACTATATCTGACCCCATCACATCCCAACATTCCTTATAAACTAAGGCTGGCATTCCATTTGGCCCAGGAGCTTTTAGGCTTCCTATGCTAAATAGGATTGATTTAACATCATCATTAGTAGGAAAATTCATAAGCATGTTATTGTCCTCTTTAGTAATAATCGTATTAAATCATTATGGTAAATCTTCAATTTCCTATGGATCCTGAGTTGAATAAAGATCCAAAAAGTAATCTACAAAAATCTTAGCAATATCTTCATGAGAGGATTTCCAATGATTATGATCATCCATTACTCCTTCAATAAAATTCTTTTTTCTACTAAATAAAGTGTTCTTATGGAAAAAAATGGTGTTTTTATCTCCAAAATGTAATAGTGTGGCGAGATTTTTGTCTCCAAAAACTTTATATTTAGGATTGGTGTTGGATTGTTGTTAACCTCCTCTAGTCTAATTGGTATCTCTATAAGGGTGTCAATTGGACTGGATTTGGTCAAATCCGATCTAGTCCAATGCGAGTCCACTGCAAATGGACTAGGTCCAATCCAATCCAATGAATATTTTGGACCATTTTGGATTGGTCCAATTAAATGTCTGGACCATCCAATCTGTTCAAATTCATTTTAATTTAGATTGGTTTCAACCCAAACCCGACCCATTGACACCTATATTCTTATCTTATATCAATGGACCACCTATTGGCTTAATCCAACCCAATCCAATATTAATTTATTATGGACGGACCAGGTCCAATCCAATATAATAAATATTTTAGACTTGATTGGTCCAATCCAATATGTCTTGTTGGTCCATCCAATATGTCCAAATTGATTTTGGACTGGACATCAAAGGCAATGGTCTTAGGACCGTTGACTTAGTCCTTTAGACCGTCGCCTCAAAGGTAAGGCGGCGGTCATGAGTCCGCCCCCTAAACCACTGCTGGCCTAGGTCAAGACTGTTAGCTTAGATAGAAAAGACCGCTGCCTTTGAGGACCGGTCCGACATGGTTCAATCATTCCTAAAGTGGCGGTATGTCAAAACCACCAACTCAAAGTTAAAAAAGGTGGTGGTCTTAACCGCCACCTTAGCCCAATTGAAACGTTTCTTTTGTTTTTAGGTGGCGATATGAACCGCCAGCTCAGAGTTAATAAAGGTGGCAGTCTTTGGCCAATTGAAACGTTTCTTCCGTTTTTAGGTGGCGATCTGAACCGCTGGCTTAAATCTCTTTGGACCACCACCTTAGGCATTGCTTCCATTTTTAGGTGGCAGTCTGGACCACCGACTTAGATCTCTTTAAACCACCGCCTTAGATCGGTCAAAATGTTGCTTCCGTTTTTAGGTGGTAGTTTGAACCGCTGGCTTAGATCTCGTTGGACCGCTGCCTTAGGTTCATCGAAATGTTGCTTTTGTTTTTAGGTGGCGGTTTGGACCACCGGATTAGATCTCTTTGGATCGCCGCCTTAGGTCCATCGAAATGTTGATTCTATTTTTAGGTGGTGGTTTGGACCACCGGGTTTGATCTCTTTGGACTGCGGCCTTAGGTCTTTTTTATGTCTAAGGTGGCGGTTGTATGACCGTCGACTTTGTGTTTTCTAATTTTTTATTATTTATATCAATTTGATTTCAACATTTTTGGTACTTGTTAAATACAAATCTCATGGTAGATTATACATAAAAATCAATTTAAATAAAAATGTAAATTAAAACTAAAAAACTTTTAATTAAATTATTAGTTATTATAATATCCAAAACAAATTGCTTAAATACAATATCCAATTGGCATATAAAAAAGTACAAGGCATTTAAAAAAATCTTCTTGAATAATGTAAAACATCTTCTAATGCAAATCCACTTAACATAATGGTTTAACCTGCGAATCATAGCATATAAATTGTTAGATAATGTAAAGTAAATGAGATATCAAATACAATTCTTAATCAAATTGGAGTCGCATCTAATTTTGCACTCAAGACTTAGTTTAAGAGTACAAATATAGATACGTAGAGTGCAAAGCCTTATATTTTTATAAACTTGTATTGTACACATGGAAACAATACAAATACAAATATGTAGTTTTTCAAAATTTGAGTATCCTAACTCCATATAAAGCATTTTGCACATTAATGTTTTCCACAACAACACTGGACACATGCCATGGTTTTTTCTTTCCTTAGCCCTCCTAGGCTGTGAAGAGAGTGAAAATGACAGTAAGAGACAAGATTATTAATATATAAGCAGATATATTCCGGATTATTAATTTAAGCAAAATAAAAGTTAAATTCAGTTGTACATTTGGGTTCGTTTGGTTCACAACCATAATCGAAATTGGAATTGGAATTGGAATGGTCTATTCCCATAGTTTGTTTGGCTCAAACAGGAATGGAAGTGAGAATTAGAATCAGCAAGAATGAGATTTCATTCCCAAGGGACAAGGGAGGGTAGGGAATAGTCATTCCCACAAATGGGGGAATGCCATATTACATTAGAATATAATATGTTTGGACTCCCTGTGGAGAGCAAATTATTGTTTTATTTTAACCTAATGAAAATTAGGACAGTCTAGTCTATTTATGTCAGCCTTTCTTATTTTAATTGGATGCTAAAGGGGATTAGTGGAGAATAGAGCTCAGAAAATTTTTAACCCTAAATATCATAAAAGCGTATGATTTTAAAACCACAACTTGTCATTCTCAACCCGGAAAGGATCTTAGTTGCAAGTAAAGAATGTACTTTTAGTAAGTGCGTCTATTTCAGCAGTACTTGTTAGGAATATGATCGTGTACACTCCCAAATTTGGCTTCTAGGTGGTCCTAGTTTTAAGTTGTACATAATGAGAGCAAACCACTCATTCAATTACCCATGGCCACTCTTTTAGATAGGGCTGTAATTTGGGTCGGGTTGAGGCCAACTCTAGCCCAACCCTTTGTTCTAAACCCTCAACCCCAACCTTAACCCTAACCTAACCCAAAATTGACTTCGGGTTAGGCTGGGCTCGGGTTGGGCCCAACCCAACTTTCTTCCCATCCCTTAAAATCTCATAAAACTATTTAATCTCAAATCTTAACTCACTTTTCACTATATATATATATATATTAATCCTATGTTTTATTAACATTTGTTTGTTGATGTTTTTATTGGTTCTTTTAGTACAAAATCGAAAAAATTAAGCGTTTAAAATGACTAGTTTACTATGAGTTATGACTTATGATATATCTTTTATAGGCGCCAAACATTAGAGAGGAGATTAAGAATAAAATATTCAAAAAACATAAAATATGTTATTAAGGTTTTAGTCTTTAATTTAGGATTAAGTGAAGTGATTATCTTAAAAGAAAGACATGATAGTATTTAGTGAGGGCTATACAACTATCGTACATCTAAAAAAAATCAATATATATATATATATATTATATATATATAACATATATTTATATATGACACATACTATAGAGTTGGGTTCATGTTGGGTCGGGATGCCCAAGGGGTCAACTATAACACAACCTAGCCCAAGTTGCAGCCTTACTTTTAGGGTAGTGGTGCATGTTATACAACAAAAGTGAACTTACTAGAATGCCCTAACATAATGAATCTTGAAATGAACTAGGATTCTTAATCACCTTTTCTTTGAACTTGAGAAAATTATAAGAATACCCCTAATGACACATACCAGTTCTAACATCCCCCGTTACTTGTGAAACAATTCGGGATCAGTTAGGAAGGAGTACAAATACAAATATGTGCAATGCAAATACATACAAAATACAAAATTTTGCTTCGAAGGAGTACAAATACAAATTAGTACAATGCAAATACATATAAAAGACAAGGTTTTGCACTCTACTTATTTGTATTTGTACTATTTCCATGTGTATAGTACAAATTTATACAAAATATAAGGTTACGCCCTCTACATATCTATATTTGTACTCCTAAACTGAGTAGTTAAACTTTATACAAATATATGGTATAAATATAGTAATACTGTCAAATACAATTATTAATCATATTGGATTAGGATGAATTTGGCTTCAAAATCAGCTCTGCTTCATCAAATCTCTATTTATCACACAAGGAAAGAAAATTAAATGGAAATTACTCCTAGAATAAACTCAAAAATCAGTTCTTCAAATTTGTAAGGTTTGATTACAAAACAATCATGCAAGGAAATGTGAACAAGCTAAAATGATATATTAGGTTCCAGTGCTTTTAGCCACATAAAGCATCAAATGGATTTTGAGTGAATTCAGGCCATGTTGAATCCAAAGGCCCTAATGGAGTTGGGTTATGATGCCTTGTCTTGCTCTGAGTTCGAGCCCACAAAGCACTATAGCATTATGGAGTTGGGTCCAATACCCAATAGAACTTACACATGCCTATGGTTGAAGATCTAAAAACAAAAGACATGAAAGCTCGAATTCCCAATACCCAATACCCAAAATATAGGCCACAATATGAAGCGTTTGAGATCTATAATGGTGATTCCTTTGAACTATGCACGATCGACAAGTTAGCCTATTACTATAACTCTCCTGACACCAATTATTAATCCCAACCCTCGTTCAAAGTTCATGATGTTCCAACAGATCATTGACATTGTTGACTTCTTGATACCTTCCCCTTCCATTCAAAGTGGGACAGTTCAAATAGAATAATGGAACATGTTGGAAAACTTTGTAAAGAAGGAGAATGAAAGCTATGATAGTACATTTATCCTCATAATAAACAGGTCTAGACAAACTTTTCCACTGTGATAAGGAGAAAATAAAGGGTAGTCTTCTCCCTCTTTTTCAGCCTCTTTCGACTACCCTAATATTCCAGAGATGCAGAAAAGCAACATTACAATACACCATCTTAGAGCAGACAACAAATGAAGGTTAGACAATACTCATGATAGAAATAGGAAAATAAGATCCAATTGTAGAACTAAACTCCATTTTTGTGTTAGGGGAGGTAGAGGTGGAATACTTGTGCAGACTCTTATCACATACATTTGAAATAGGTATTATTGCACAAATAATGAATTTTCATTAGTCCTTTGGCCCATTATGGATCCATTGAAATCCTCAAAAAGAAATTAATGAAAGCTTTAGAAAGCAACTTTTCATTAGAATTGTAGCCAGCTTCAACTATAAACACTAATACATTAACAAATGAGTCATCATTTTCATAAAAAATAACCTTGTGTAGTAATTGGTGTACATATGGCAACTATCGAAGATATTTGCTAGAAGTAAAATCTTCAAGACCAAAATACACCAACCACTTTTTCTGTTAAAACTTATGATAACACTACTTCTGGTTTCAATATAACTTTAAAAGAATATCACAATTAGCAAGCATGCACTAGGATCCAAATCAATGAAGTTAGGTGCAATAAGATGTTTCCAAATAGAGAGTTACAATTTAACCATATCAAGAAAGAACCATAGTTAAGCATGATAGATTTAACCACAATAAGATCATGTTCCCTACAGAAATGCATGATATGCATTAAAAATCCACTAGTAAATGGACTTCATTTCTAGAACCCATAAGGATAAAGTTTGCTAAAGCTGAGTTGATAAGCCAAGAAATGGATTGAAAGTGAGCATTATGTGGATCAAATGGAACTATATTAAACTATACATACAATAGACAAACTGAAGAAAACTTAATATTAACCTAAAAGAACCATGCATAGGAGAGCAATCAAAACAAATATTGGGTTGTACTCCTCAAATGAAGTGAATATTGATTCTCTTCACCAACTGGAAGAAAAATCTTTTATTTTATTCCTCAAAACATTAAAAAGACAATAGGGATTAATGTTTGGAGGGGTTCAAGTTTCCAACCTTTCATTTTACTCCACTCGTCCACTTACTTTGTGACTACATCTGCATCAACCAAATAAATGTTGTTGATTGGGTTGGCACTTAATGGGTGTAGGTGCGAAAATTCAAACAATTTGAATCATTGGTAGTTATTTTATCATATGACCATTTTATCCATTAAAAGACAACAATCATAAACATAAGTCATTTAGTTCAGGCACTTCAACTGTTTTCAGATAGTCCTTTAGGGGTTTTAGTTCACTCCTGTCATATTTGTTTGTTAGTGCCAAAAACTGTAACCAAAACTGTAATAAAAATATGTTTTTGTTTTTCAATTTGATTCCCTTCTAACAAATAACCTATTTGAAAACATAAAATAAACACCCTAGAAACCTTATGCATTTTTTATATATCACATTGTTTCCAAGGGAAAAATTTGACTTACAATCATTCCATACTTTTCTAAAGAGACACCAAGAGTAGATGTAGATCTGCTTAGCATAATGGTTGAACCTACAAATCATATCATATAAAGTTTACAATTATATTCAAATATTTTAACTATAAAAGATAGATATGACACATAAAATTACGTGGATTGAATTCCAAGCAATCGGAACACCAACAGCGGTTCTAACTGTTTTATAGCGTTCATATGGACCCACTAGTGGTGCATCACTTATAATTGGAACATTGATCACAACCTTTGTCCATTCATAACCAAGTGGCACACCACCCACAATATTCTAAGGATCTAAACTTGTAATGGTTGCTTTGGTAATGGATACAATTCCTCCTTGCATGAAAGTCGATAAATTACATTTTGTATTTTCCTGCAAATACAATTCTCCTTGTCAACAAACACCTTACACTTTCTCATTTGTATTTAAATCAAATTACACTTACTAAAAACACTTGTGGTTCAATGTTGGAGCTAAATTGATGATAGAAGGGACTTTGAAAAGCATGTGTAGAGGACTTTCCTTCGCAATTGTAATGATTCACCTCAATCCTTGCATAGAATTAATGAAACATAAATTATCAAACAAATATTTATGCAATCAAGTATAAATTATTTAAATACAAATATAAGTAAGGGTGATACCTATCTATTAAGTAATTGAGCTTCCATCGCATCCATTCGTTCTCGCATTGATGCAATTTGTTCTTCCATCTTCTGTAAATGCTCTTCACCTGCTCTTTTACCTTCATTAGTTCAAGGCATCTTCATGGCTCTGCCATGGGCCCCTGTACCTGGATGGAGTTGGGCCTAAACCTATACCATGCACTCGGCCATGACGCTCTTGGCCCATCACACGAGCATAGACATCCTCATGTCCTTGTTCATTGCCCTTATTTTGAGTGTCTTCCTCTTGAGACATGCAATTTTGCATTTACTCCTTGAATATTATACAAACCTATTAGTAATTCAAAACAACTTGTTAACTCATACCATTTAATACACATTTGAATAAGTATACCACTAAAGAACCCAATCTTGGATCTACAGGTGTTCCATCATTTTTCTTGTGTTTGCAAAGAATACCTCCGCACATGATACATCAGCTTCCCTCTCTATTTGTTATCACCATGAAAATAATATGTAATTGTTTTTATATAAAAAAATGAATGAATGAAAAAAGTATAATGAACATATTAAAGTTGTATATTTACCAATTCTTCGCATACTCTTGCAAAGTTCTTTTCTCCTGTTGTGTGGTTGACTATTTGTTTGGAGCGATTAGCTTTGTTGGTTATGGATCTTGCTTATATTAAAATACAACTAATTTACTTTTCACTCATTCAAATAAAAAACAAAAATATTTAAATATTTAAGATACTTACAATCCCTTTTTCAGATCTCCAAAATTGTACTAATTTTTTCCATTGGTGTATATTGGTTTGACCGGAAGCGTGTTGTTAATCACTTTGGAACACCAATTTAATATTTATAAAATTTTTCCAATTCTCAAAAAAATACAAACGCAGTAAATGGGTGAGAATGGGTCATATCCACAGAGAAACAAGGGAAAAACAGTTATGTACTTAGATCCGGGAAAGAGAATACAATTGGGAATTGCAAAAAATAATAAAATAAAATTTATTAATGCTAAACTTAAAGGTTCGGAATTAAACAAGACGATAACTCAAATTCAAAAATTAACAGAATACTGAAATTAACAAAAGAAATAAATAAAAGTGATCAAAAATTTGGATCCAGTGGTGGTAGTTGCAGATTGTCTGGACAGCTTGCAGGAACCCCTCCTGACAAGAACTGGGCATCCTTCCACTCTTCAGCCCTTGAACCCCTCAAGACACTTTAGCCTTGAATTGGACGAATTCAGATTTACAAAATAGTGAAACGAACAGGAATTAAATCTAAAAGAGTGCTGAAATAAAAATAACAGAAAAGAAAATGAAGAAAAGAAAAGAATGGTTGATCAGATACAGTGACGGTAGTTGCAGATTGGTTGAACAACTTGCAAGAACTCCTCCTGACAAGAATTGGGCGTCTTCTCCTTCTACAATCCTTGAACTCCTCAAAAAACCTTAGCATTGTGAATTTGATGAATTGACCAACCCTTCTCGAGGGCCCCTGGGGTCATTTTTATAGAGAATGGTGAATATAACTGGAATTAGAGAGAAAGAGGGGGGCGACAGGTGGGTTTTTGCAAAAATATGGGTGCCCTAAGGTTTAGAATGAAGGGTTATGATGGTTCCAAGGTGATCCTAAGGCTGAAAAGAAAAGGAGAAGGCACCCAATATTATATAGGGTTGAGATTTAATGGCTAAAGGTTGAATGGTGAAGATTATAAGTTAGGTGACTCCCTAGGGTTAGAATGCTAAAAAGAGAATGCCCTAGAATGGATGGTGGAGATTAAAAGGGATGGAATGTGAGAATTTAGCAGTTAGGGGCGGATAGGGTTTGTTAGAAATGAACAAAATGGGTTATAAGGCACCCTAGGGTTTGCTAAAGAGAGGGGAGCATGCTAATACAGTAGGAGGGGCGCCATTCTGGGTTTAGTAGATAGGAGGCGCCCTCCTGCTCTTAGTTTTTCACAAAAACACCCCCTCTCTCAGTTGGACTTCACACCAGCTTCCAAAAAACTGCATTTCTGCCATGAAAACTTCCCAATTTTCCACAAAATTTGCAGACACCCTCAGAGGTCACAACATTGATTTTAAATGGGAAAATGACACACTTTGATTATTCTAAGGCCAAAAATACCCTTGAAATGATGCCCTTAAGGCATCAAAATGCAGAGTTATCATATATTAACCTGATTTTTACGTTGCTCAAGTAGTGCATATGTGCTATCCGGATTTGGGTCATAATACTTTTTCTTCAAATTGGACTTCCAATCCCTCCACTTTTTACCCAATGACTTCATAATCTAGTCTTTTGTACCATTAATCACCTTGAATTTTTTCTATGACCAAAATAATAAATCAATCATTATGTCTACATAAGAGAAATGTCTAAAAAAAAACAATGGATTCAATGCATTGATAAGTTTCCATATGTCTTCCTTTGTTTTTGTAGGAATTTCTCTCCAACCGTTAATGTCTATGGGCAACTTGTTTGGAGTTCGTGCAAGGCTACCCAAAAATCTAACTAAATACTTTGCTTTTTCATCATTGGGTTGGTTGTATTGATTTGATCATATTTCAATTTGTTCCCCTTCAAGCATGTTCCATATATCTAGTGGCATGGTGGGGCCTCTTAACCTACATGGTGTACGAGAAGACCCTTCTCCAACATATTGTCCACTAGAGGACTCCTCATGCCTTCTCAATTCTAGTGACTAGGTTGGTGATGTAATATCATCTACATCAGGTGTTGACCTAGTAGTTGGATGGGCCACCGATTGACTTACATGTGGCCATGTATCATCTATATTGTGTGTGTTAGTAATGGTCGAACGGGCCCCTGATTTACTTGCTTGTGATCGTGTCCCCCTTTCTTTAAGTTTTTTTAATATGTTCATTTTAACCTGTCACAACATTGTTAGGTTGGCATTCATAAATTAAATTTAGATCATCAAAACATAATCACCAAGCAAGGTATTTAGAAGTACAATGAAATAACTTAGAGGTCCATGGTTGAAAGAAATAACCTTTTTTTTTCTTGCCAACATTTTAGCCTATACATTCAAAATTTTAACTTCTACCAATCAAATTATGGTATAATCAATTATTAAAGTGGGTAATGCTATGAAATCATAAGATTTTATCAAATAAACCAAGTATGAAACATCAAACTTGGGCAAAAAAATTTCTCTAAAATATAACAAACTAGTAGGGTACAGAGATTCAAAACCCATAAATTCCTCTTAACTCCGAATCCAGTGAGGATATAATTAACAAACTATCTAGGGGTACAGAGATTCAAAACCCATAAATTCCTCTTAACTTCGAATCCAGTGAGGATATAATTAACAAACTAGCTAGTCCACTTTTGCCATCATATGTTAGCAGCAGATTTTGACTTGGTCAAGATAGTCAAATAAAAAATGAGTGAGAAAGAAACAAGTTTATAAGCCATGAAATTCAATGAACTTGAACTGACTGGGTCAAGCTCAAGTTTACCCCAACTTTTAAATTAGAGAGATAGCAGAAAAAATGATCCCTCAAACTAAAGAATCTTTCCTTAATGCAATCGAGCCCACTTGTTCATTTACTCTCTGGATATATTATGTGATTGTTGGGAAACAAGTATGACTTACAAAATGCATGGTTCACCATGAAATACAACATAGTAAAGAAAACAAATAGACAAATAAATTATTGTACTGTTTAGGAGTCAAGTTGTTGAATTAATAATATATGGAGATTTGCAGGGCTTATTTAACTTAATTAAGTCATAAAGTCAGTTACTAGTAGAATTGTTATGAAAAATATTAAACTAGAACCAAATTATTCCAAAATAAAGAAATGGCAGCATCAGAACAAGTGTAATATTAAAAGAGTTCTGGGAAAGTTGCAATTTTTCTTTATCCAGGGGAGTTAATTAATCATCATTGATGAATTGGAGTTCACAGGAAAGCCCGCCTCCTGGCATAATTCCCTAAGGTTAGGGGCATAGATTTCCAAAAAAAGGAGTTATCTGCCCTAATAGAATAAGGAAAAAAAATAAATTATCACCAAGATATTTAGATTTCCATATTTGAGTCCATAACTTATGTTGCTCATTGATAAAATGCTAGACCAATTTTTTTAAAAGAACCAAATCAACAATACTCAATGAGCTACCTTTTCCTTAACCTATCAATCATACATGCATGCCTTGTTCTTTGTTTTCAAATAATCTAGCATTCTGTTACTCCACAAACTCTAGCGAATTGCCACTTACATACAATTCCATAGTAATCTGTCTTCTCATAATACATGGAAACAACCAAGCTGAAAACAGATGTTGAATACTAAATGTGGTGTCCATGCAGCACCCAAGTGCTTTCTCATGTCAGACTTGTTAATTTTTAGCATTCATAACCTCAAATGGGTGTCATTGTTTTAGATTACTTTATTTAGAGTTTAACAAATAGGTTGTTGTTTGATTAAGCTTTATATTTATTACCAATCTGTAGTCTATGTAGAATGGTCCCACCTAAACTGTCACTAATTCAACAAGCTAGTTGAACTGTTAACCAGATGGTTGGACTCTCCAACTCATGACCTATCTATCTAGTCTGAATCTAACAGAATTGGTTTAGTCCATAAACATTTTTCTATGCATAAGAATATGAACCAAACCATGGTAGGCCAGTAGGAGATTCCTAGGTGGTAGTGAATTGGTTTATAAATGGAAGTATGAGACCTTTGTAGTACTGGTATACTATCTGTGAAGTGAGGAAACTAGCAAGAATGTTGGACATGACATTCTATACAAGTAGCAAGATCAATCAATTACCTAGTTGATCCTTTGTCTAGACAGAGAGTACAATGAAACATTCTGTTTTGAGGAGTTGACAGAACTTAGCTGTAGTTGGGAGTACAAATTGAACATCTAATGTAGATAGATCCCTAGAACAAATTCATTGCTGACTTACTTTCTAGGGAAAGGCAAATAGAACTAATTTTTATTAGGGTCCTGACTTGGGCATTTGTAATATGAAGGTTTTATTCAGTTTTTTGTTTTGTTTTGTTTCGTTTTTAAGCTAGAGAAAAGTATTGTGTTAATAGTATGAGAATGAGAAGGGAGGGGCACCCTCAGTTGTAAAAGAAGATGTATCAAGAACTACTCAAAAGTATCTCTATATCATTTACAGTGAATTAGTAATATACAAGAGAAAAGACTATCACAATATAATTGTTCTCCAATTATTTATGAAATCAGTCACTGTAACTCCAAAATAACTGTTGCAACACTCTAGCCCACCAAATAAGCACCCGTTCAATAGAGGGAGTAGAATAAAAC